TTTGTTTTTGAGGAAAATCAATTTACAGTTCTCTTTGCAGGGCCTTCATTCCTACACGTGGACCCAAGTCTTTCTCTGGAACTATCTCCCTCTATCTGAAGAACATTCTTGATATCTGCTTAGTAGTGTAGCCTACAGGTAACAAATTCTCTCAGCTTTTGAAAGGTTCCCCCCACACCCCACCCTTGGAAGGATTTTGTCACTTGATACAGGATTCAAGACTGATATTTGGGGTTTTTGTCTTTACAGATGTTGTTCCATGCTTCTAAGTAAACCTGAAGTCATGGATGGCCTGTGTTCCTCTTCCCACGAAGAGTCTTTCACCCCTCTGAAACTTGTAAAGCTTTTCTCTTTGCCACCTGGTTTCAGCCATTTGGTTCTGTTCTTTCCTACCCACAGGACAGTTGTGTAACTTCGCTTGACACCCAGCTGCCAGTTCTCATCCACGCTGACTACAGGCTTTTGTAGGTGGTAATGGTAATGGGGTCATAGGTGACCAAATTACAGCTTGTGTGGAGAATCCCCATTCTCATTACATTTTCTGGGCAAACATGCAGGCACATGATACACGTCTGGAACCCCATGTCCTTAATGTAAATTTCCAGACTTCTCTGAGGGGCTGAAGCTTATGCTTCTTGAAGCCACTTCATGGTGGACTTGTGACTGTGGGTGTTGTATTCTTGATCACTATCTTGGAGATGGCAGAAGAGCCCTTTTGCCACTGCTCTTTTCGGGAACCATTCCACAGAGCCAGCTTGGGCAGGCTTGGTGTGCTTTTCCTGTTCTCTCCTGTTTGGGGCTCTTTGAGTGTCTTAGATCTGTAAGTTTAGCACTCTCACCAAATTTGGAAACATTTGTCAGTTTTGGTCTCTTCAAATACTTTTCTGCTTTGACCTTCCCCTTCCTCAGGCTTTTTGTTGTTTTTGTTACAGTTCTTTTGTATTTTTGAGACATTTTCTGGGTATGTAGCTCAGGCAGGACTCAAACCTGTCATCCTCCTGCCTTCCTGCGTGCTGGAATTACAGGCATGCAACAGCACACCTCCGTTCTCAGACTCGGATCTGGTTACACACATGTTCTGTTATGTCCCACGAGTCAGAGAGGATATGACTTTATCATCTCCACTGTGGAGCTATACATTACAGTTTTCAAGTTTGCTGATCTACTCCATAGTCCCTTTCAGGTATTAACCTTAACTGTTGAATAATTTTGTTTATTGACTTTTGTAGCTCTAGAAGGTGTGTTTTGTTTTGTTTTACACTTACTTATTTACTGTATTGTGTACACAGGCACTCTAGTGTCATTATGCACTTGTGGAAATCACAGACAACTTGCAGGAGTCAGTCAGTTCTCTCCCTCTACTGTATGGGCTCAAGGGAACTAATTCAGGCTAGTTGAGTTTGGTGGCATCAATTTCATCTGCTTGGGTTTTCTTTTTGTTGTTGTTGTTTCTGAGCAGATCTCTTCCTCGAAATGATCCTCCTGCTTTTTTTTTTTTTTTTTTTTCAAGACAGGGTTTCTCTGTGGCTTTGGAGGCTGTCCTGGAACTAGCTCTTGTAGACCAGGCTGGTTTGGACCTCACAGAGATCTGCCTGCCTCTGCCTCCCGAGTGCTGGGATTAAAGGCATGGGCCACCAACGCCCGGTTCCTCCTGCCTTTTTTTTCTGTGAGTCCTGGGATTACAGGTATGCACCACCACACCTTATTTATTTTTTTAAATATCCTCTACTTTGACCTCAAGTGTGAGTGATTTCTTTGTCCTCAGTGACACTGCCTTTGTCATCTGAGTCTGTGTCCATCAGCTAGTTTTGCTTCTGATTATGGATTACATTTTACTGCTTGACTTATTATGAGGTCTACTTTGTTGACTGTTAGACCTCATGTTAATTTTTAAGAGCACTAGAATTTGTCTGTCAGAAGGCAGGTTACATGCAGATACAGTCGACTCTTTTGAAGTACAGTCTTAAGGTCTTCAGTAGACTTTACTCTAGAAACAGCCTGGCTGCTGGGGTTAACCTTTTCAACTATTTCCTGGATGCTATATATGTTCAAAGCGATTTTCTATTCCAGTTGGGCAAAGGCAAATGTTTCCCAACCCTCTGCAGGCTCCAGGAATAGTATGGTCCATAGTTCTCCAGTTGCTCCTTGACCAACGCCACAGACCTTCGTTCTGTGTCTAAGAGGCTTAGGGCTCTGCAGCCATCTCCTCCTCAGCATACCAGCCTCCTTTCTAAGACTCTGCTCTGCAAATCCTGCCTGTTCGGGGCACTCTGTGTCCTGCCTGTGTTCCCAAAGCTCTGTGAGACTGCTCTGCTTAGCTTATAATCCCTCTCGTGCCCACCTGGGACGTGCCAGAATACAAGGTTGTTACCATATTAGCGATTTTCTAATGTGGAGCTGAGAACAGAGCTGGGTGTGCACATGGTTCAACCCACAGCACTTGCAGGTGGGAGATCAGCTAGTGTAACTGTAGTACAACACTTGATCTCAGTACACAGATGCAGAAATTTTCTACACATTTGACAGCTATTGATAATAATTTCAAGTAATTAAGAATATGAATTTCCTTAATCTATTTTTAAGTACCTAGCAAGAGGGCAGGTACGAAGACTTCAGTCATTAAGAGCATTAGCTGCTCTTCCAGAGGACCTGAGTTTGGTTCCCAGCACCCATGTCACCACCACTTGTAACTCTCATTCTAGGAGATCAAAAATCCTCAGACCACAAATGCATCCATAAATAAATTTTAGAGCATTACCACAAATGGTAAATGTAAAAGAAAGAAGCCTCTCCAAGGACAGGAGCAGGAGAAGAATGACAGCTGGCCCTGCTTCTGCTTGACATTATTTGAAGTGTTCTGGTCAGTATAATATATAGTAAGAAAAGCAAAAAGCAGGAGATGGAAAAGGCAGAAATCAAAGTATCAGTTATTTATCTGCAAATCAACAGGAAGCACTTACTATGTGTGAGACTCTTTGTTTCATTTGGTTGGTTGGTTGGTTGGTTGGTTGGTTTTGTTGTTGTTGTTTGGGTTTGGATTTTTGTTGTTGTTGTTGTTGTTGTTGTTTTGTTGTTGGAGAGAGAGAGACAGAGAGAGAGACACACACACACACACACACAGAGAGAGAGAGAGAGAGAGAGAGAGAGAGAGAGACTCCAGGCTGTCCTGGAACTTGCTCTGTAGACCAGACTGGCCTCAAGCTCAGAGATCCTCCCTCCTCTGACTGGAAAGTATGGTGATTAAAGTCTTGCACCACCATGACCTGCTATGAGACTCTTTTCTTTTTTTCAATTTAGTGTATAGCATGTGCATGTGTACAAGCACATGCCATGGCACAAGTGAGGAGGTCAACGTGCAAGAGTCAGGTCTCTTCTACCCTGTGGGTTCCAGGGATCGAATTCACATCTCCAGACTTAGAGGTGAACATTAATACATGCTGAGTTATCTCACCAGCCAAAGTAAAAGCACTTTCTACCCAAGCCTGACAACCTGGAGCTCCAGCCCCAGGACCGACTTTCACCCATGCACTGGCCCCACACCAGCTATGCGAATGCACACATTTACAATAATAGCTTTTTAAAAAGTAGACTAGTAGCTGGGTGGTGGTATCACACACCTTTAATCCCAGTGCTCAGGAGGCAGAGGCAGGTGGATCTCTGTGAATTTGAGACCATGAGACCAGCCTGGTCTACAAGAGTGAGTTCCGGGACAGTCGGGTAAAACAGTGAGATCCTGCCTCAGGGGAAAAAATGGTAGACTAGTGATGTCCAGTGCCAGGGGGTGGAGTAGAGAGTTTATGCTAAGAAGTCTTCTTTGAAGTGATACATGCCTATAATCCTAGTTCATATAATGTGAAGGCAAGAGGGTCAGGAATTTCAGGCCCAAAGTGAGTTTAAGGCTAGCCTGGACTACCTGAGACCCTGCTTTAACAAACTAAATAAATAATTGATGATAAATGATAAAAAGTAAAGTCATTGAATTGTTCACTTTAAAATGGTATGTTTTGAGCTGAAATGTAAAGCTCCTAGCATGTAAAAAAGGCCCTGGGTTCCATCCCAACACCACAAAAGAAAAGGAAACGAGATGGGCAAATGAATCAGAACCCTTTCCAGACTTCCATATGAGTCCAATAAATTGACCTCCTCCCCTGAAGACACATCTGTGGAAATTTCCACCAGCAAAATCCTGGAAATGTTACTCACACTGCCTCTCTGGCCATGAGCCAGCTATCTCCCTTCAGTGCTTATGCCAACATGGCTCATAAAACAACAACAAAAGCCGTTTCGGCATCCATCTCTCGTGATAGCCAAAGTAAAGAAAACAGATCTTTTCGTTTCAATCTGAGTATTCTCTTCAGTTCAGTATCTGGGATATCCAGGGTCACAAGGTCACATCCTTTTGAATAAATACTGTTGCTTGTTTCTATACTCATAGTTAAAGGACATTCTAAATATACTCTAGATGTTAATAGAAGATACAATCTTTTTTAATCCCCAAAATACAAAAGTGGATAGCTCTGAAATGCTTGCATGGCTCTTGGCATACAGGAAGTACCCTGTAAGTGTTAGCTATTGTATTGGCTGAATTCAAAGGCACTCCATTACTTCCTGAGCTGACTTCTTGGTCTTACTAAGTCTGTGTTGCTTTGTGTCATGCCCTTCAGTGTCCCCACAGAGTTGTTAGTAGCCATGAAATGTAACAAACTGACCCAAGATGAGGCATGGCTAGCTGATGAGGCCTAGGGTGGGGCCACCTCCCATTCCAACTGTGTGTTTTTTATCAAATTGTTCGTGGGCTCTATTACATATAAGCTACCGGTATTTGATGCCCTGTAAGTATAAGAATACACCATCTTCTGCTGACAAAAATGACCCTATTGCCTCCCCAACTGGATGGAGGAGGATCTGCCTGCACTGAAGCAATGTTGTCTCCTCAGTAGCATAGCAAATAAGACTACACAGCGGACTGGACTTTTGACTGTGACTCTGAACAGGGACCAATGAAAGACTGGGCCTTATGCTTCAACAGCTCTGGTATCCACCCTCACTGTCACCCCTAGAACCCATCCAGATTCTCTTCTCTGGGCCCACACTTCCAGAAACACTCTGAGAGAGGCCAGGATGGGAAGACTTGGGGTACCAGACATACCCAGGATGTCCTCACCACTTCCCAGAGCCAAAACACCCTTGTTGAAAAACAGAGAAGTTAGCAGTGTGAAGAAGCAGTAGGAATCACACAGACACACAGACACACAGACACACAGACACACACACACACACACACACACACACACACACACACACACACACACACACATTGTACCAAACCAGCACACCATTCATCTCCACATTCAGCTGAAGGGGATGCCAAAGGAGATAAAGCCACAGAGGAGGACAGGCCACAGAAAAGATCTGCAAGGTTGTCTGCTAAACTTGCTCCTCCAAAGCCAGAGCCCAAGCCTAAAAATGCTCCTGCAAAGAAGGGAGGGAAAGTACCCAAAGGGAAGAAGGGGAAAGCTGGTGCTAGTAAGGATGAGAATAGTCCTGCAGAAAATGGAGATGCCAACACAGACCACAGGCACAGAAAGCTGATGGTGATGGAGATGCCAAGTGAAGTGCATTTTAGATAACCATGTACTTGTGGTGCCTGAAGAGTTTGAAATGCTGTTTTTTATCAAGTTTTATAAAAATGAAGAACTTTGATTTACTTTTATATTTTTTAAAGCTATGCTGTTAGCACATAGAACACTTGATTGTTTGGGGGTGGGTGAAAGAATGTGTGTCACTAACAAACATCTCCCAGGCTGGACTGATGACAGAGAACATCTTTCCCTGACAATTTTGAAAGCCTCCCATTGGCTCAACACCAGGAGAGCTAACCTGGTGTTGACATATGTGGCCACCATGGCACCAAATGCCTTGTTGTATGGGAAAATTCTAAATTCATTTTTATATCCTCCTCCACGTATACCATCAACATAGACTTAACTCCCTTAAAACCAGAGGCCTATTGAAACCTGACCCCCAAAAATGGTTTTACCAGTCACTGGGCAATCTAGACTTTGCAGTGACATTGTTGAGTTTTCTCAAAACAGTGGTGGTTCCTTTTAAAAAGATGTGGATCTCCCCGTCTGAGGCATTGAAGATTGGATCAGGTTTTATAGTGGGTTTCTGATTTTGTTGGTCTATATAAGAAGGGAATTTGGAAGTTCCAGTATACCATTAATGATTGTCTACCCATGTCCTGCCTGAAATAGCATGATTGTCTGTGGACAGTATTTTTAATAAAGCTGGATACAGTTTGGCTTAGAGAAAAAAAGAAAAGAAAAACAGAGGAGTAAAATCTATAAATAATCAAGGCTTGGGTTGGCAAAATTGCTGAATGGTGCTTGCTACCAATCCTTATGACCTGAGTTCAATCCCTGGGACCTATATAGTAGAAGAAAAAGAATTTACTCCCCCAAGTATTTTTCTGACCTCTAGAAGTACATGTACACAGAAAGTAAATAAATAATTTTAAATTGTAAAAATTAATAATGAAGGCTTGTTCCTAACCCTTTGGAATTCTCCTGCTTTGACCCATCTGTGTGTGTGGAGACCAGACACACGCATGGGCTATATCGCTCTACCACTACTGCTAAGAGATACAGACACAGAGATAGGTGTATCTCAGTCAAACACTTGGCAAAAAAAAAAAAAAAAAAAAAATCTGGCTCAATCCCACAGTCCTGAGAAGTTGTGTTGTATTACCTCTATTTTATTGATAAGAAAATTGAGCTCCACCATAGCCAGGTCACTTAGCTGTCCAGAGATTTAGCTGAAGCTGGATCTGGAAGACACTGAGGTCATCCTGAAGCTCCCCTCAGCACACACAACACCCTACCTTGAACTGTACCAAGTATTCTTCCATGGCTCAGCTGGCCCAGACTTCACAAGGGGTGGCCCCATTTTCCTTGCATAGGGGTCTGCCCCTCCTTCTTTAGAGACCCTCCTGGTATAACAGGTCCCAGCTGAATACAGCCTCATTCTGTCTCCCAGGTGAAGCTGGCCCCAACACCAGGTGGACTTCATCAGTTTCCCATTCTCTTCTTCCAGAGTACAAGCTGCAGTCTGAAGATCAGGGTTCATGGGTCAGGTCATTGTTCCTACCATCAGAGCCTGACATGGGAGCAGGCATGTGACTGCTTCTCTGTCCCCAAGCTTAACTCAGAAGTCTGATGGAGCCAGCAGCCAAGAAATGCTGGCTGAATAAATGAATAAGCCCATAAATGTCTTCATTTCTCATACACGTTGGTTCACACTATTAATTTTCAGAAATAACAGTCTGATAACTTAAAAAAATTAGAGCACTCATTGAGAACACGGACAACATTTTTACTGTAACAAAATATGCACATCATAAAATGTCCTGTTTTAGCCAGGAGGTGGTGGTGCACACCTTTAATCCCAGCATTCGGGAGGCAGAGGCAGGCGATCTCTCTGAGTTCGAGACCAGCCTGGTCTACAAGAGCTAGTTCCAGGACAGCCTCCATAGCCACAGAGAAACCCTGTCTCAAAAAACCAAAAATAAATAAATAGATATAAGTAAAATGTCCTGTTTTAAGTGTGTAGTCCATATAATTTGATAACATTAAGTACATTTGCACTGTTGTCCAATGACGAGCCCCACCCATCTCCATCCCATTGTCATTTCCTCATATTAAAACTGTCTCCACTGAGCATTAACTGCCTCCCTCCCCTGCCTGGCCCTTCCTCCTCTTTGTGATTCTGACGACTCTAAGCACTTCATCTGAACAGAATCATGTCACACTTCCTTTTGCATCTGGTTTATTTCACACAGCATATGTCTTGGAGAGCCAACACTGTTGGAATTGTCACATCATTCTTTAAAGACAGTCGCTGACTCAAGAGATGACTCTTGAGTGGGTAAAGTAGCTGCTATATAAGAATGAGAACCTGAGTTCAATCCCTAGCATCTACATGAAAGCCAGACATGGAGGCACACACCTGTAATTCCAGTATGTAGGAGACAGAGACGGGGATCTGTGGCGCTCCCTGTGGACAATCTAGTCAGTCAATGAACTCCAGGTTCACTGAGAAACCTTGTCTCATGAAATAAGGTAGAGAACAATTGAGGAAATACCTGACATTGACCTCTGACCTCTACTCACATGTGTACTTGTGAACACATGCATACACTACACATACATGTGTGTATATGTGTGTGGTGGTATGTGTGTGTGTGTGTGTGTGTGTGTGTGTGTGTGTGTGTGTATACAACCATACACCACACCCATATACCACAAACACACACACATATACACCACATATATATACAATACACACATACCACACATGTACACCACACACACACACATATCACAAGTATTCACAAACTATCTGCACACAAACATGTACAAATACACCATATACATATAAGACATAAATAAATTTAACCTATTGGCATTCTCATGCATCTTGTATTTACTATGTCTCTTGAATGTTTACATATACACCACATATATATACAATACACACATACCACACATGTACACCACACACACACACATATCACAAGTATTCACAAACTATCTGCACACAAACATGTACAAATACACCATATACATATAAGACATAAATAAATTTAATAAATAAAAAACAGAGTATCAATGAACCCATGCTACAGGCAGGACCTTGTACCACTAATCCCATAGGGGGAAAAAAAAACAGTAAATGACAGTATCAGATCTGAGTGTCAGTCAGCTCATTTCCTTCTCAAAGGGTCCAATAAACTACTAGAGGAGAGGCAGTCAATGTACCAGCCTACCTGGTCCTGGTCTCCACCTTTGAAAGGGGTTTTCTACAGCCTATAGACCATATAGATCCTTTCTCCAGGTGTACCTAATGGTTCTAGAAGACAATAAAAAAAATGGCAATGACTAATGGGAGGAACTGCAAACACATCAAGAAAATGAGCAAACAAGTGACAGATGGAGTGTGTTCAAGAGTCTCTGGACCCTTGGGAGTTCTAAAAGGAGCAAGACTTTCCATCAAATAGAGTTGGCACATCCACACTCATTACAACCTTCTAGGCCACCAGAGACACCTTGGGCAGAATGGAAATCAGAATTTCCAGTAGCGGGGTACTGGAAAACAGCAGCAAGGCAGCATTCCCTGAGCTCCTCAGGAATCCAGTCCTAAACCATTTTCCTAACCTACAGTATCTCACCCAACAATCTCAAGGATCAAGCACAAGAGATACCATGGCCTCCTATTTGTAGTAAAGAAACTGAGGCTTAGGTGAGTTAGCCAGATACCCAGGGTCACACTGCTAATTCATGTTGGGACTGGCAAACAAATTCAGGCTCAGCAACCTCAAGGCTCTTTTCTTTACCAACATGCCTCATATCCCATGATGGCAGTGACTCACCTCATCTTTAGTCCCCTGCACTGCCCAGACCCCAGGCGGGTATCATAGAGAGGAGCATCACAGAGGGCCTGGTAAGCAGCTCAAGGAAAGGACTCTGCCCTCTCCCTGCAAAAACTATGGAGAAGGCCCTAGGAAAGGACGAGTCCTCTCCGAGACCTTCAGAGAGGAAGGAGCACATGCCTGCAGCGTTGACAGCTTGAGCATGGGCAGAGCTTTGGATTGAATTGAAGAATGCTTAGGCAGTTTTGCTAATTAATGATAGCTGAGTCATAAGAAAAAAGAAAAGTTGGCTCCAAGCTTATGCTGGGAGAAGGGTGCCTCCTTGGAGTGCCTGAGTGGGCGGCCTGCAGCCTCCACTCCCCTCCAGCCCGGATGCCACCCCTCCTGGTACTTTCTCAGGGACAGAGCTGTACAGAGGAAGAGGCCTAGCTAAACTGGTTTAGACGAGCCCAGTTTAGCCAAATGATCAGTGAGGATGGCATGGAGTAGAGTAGACAATGGCTGATCCTTTAAGCCAGCTCCAGTTCAGTTTGAGGGTGATAACCTTGGCCAGGAAAAGCTGTCTACATTGGTATCATTGCTCTTGGAATTTCACTTTCAAAAATGTCTTCCTTTGGAGTTCTCTCCTCTTGGTAGGGGGACAAAGAATCAGCTAGCCTGTGGTAAAGTGTAAGAAGCAGAATCAAATGGACCTTGAATTTCCTGTTAATATGAAGGAACTTCCGAAGGCATATACTAGTACACTCTGTGGGTGCAGAATGCTCAAGCAGGTAGTGAGGCCTGTCTAAGGTTGTACAGCTCCTGAAAACCTTTTTACACTGAGCCAAATCATTTTCCTGTGGCTCCATCCTGTTCCCCATGTGTCATGGAACAAATGTGCTCCTGATGGAGGCAGTCTTGCAAGTTCACCACCAACTCCTCTCCTTAGAATCCCAGTTCTCTTGTTCTCAGGGATGTTCCTGACAACCTCTTTGGTTGAGGATGCTTCCAACAAGCTCTGTCCAGATTCTCTGGAACACCTCTGCCTATGTGTCACAAAATGACAAGCACAAAGAGTAGAACCATGGTTATTTGTTTACATTCACAGAACCTACTAACCTATGGGAAAACAAAAGACTCCAAACTGTAGGCACAAGAGACCCCAGGGGAAGCAGCAGACACATCACCTCTGCACTTCCAGAATC